TCTTCGCTTGTGCGTCGAGTATCGCAAGCTCAACGCGCAAGCCGTCAAGAATGCGGGGCCTCTTCTTCGTATCGACGACCTTCTTGAGCGTTTGGGCGGCGCAAAGTACTTCTCCAAATTGGAATTGAAGTCGGGCTATCATCAGATTTTATATGCCTGCAAGATTGCTACGAATCTGCGTTTAAGAGGTGGTACGAGCATTTTGAGTGGATTGTCATGCCTTTTGCCCTCACCAATGCCCCGACGACTTTTCAAGCGATGATGACGAACTAGTTCCGCGCGGTGCTGGACCGGTTTGTGGTGGTCTACTTGGACGACATTCTCGTCTATGGCCGGACCTTTGAGGATCATCTTGAGCACCTTCGATGTATGTTGGAGGACATCAGTCTGTTATCGTACAAGATTCAAGCCGTCCAAGAGTGGTCGGAGCCGAAGAACGTCACAGATGTCCGCTCGTTTCTTGGCCTAGCTGGCTACTATCAACGCTTTATCAAAGGCTATTCGAAGATCGCGGCTAATTTGACCAAGCTTCAATGTGAGGATCGACCGTTCGACTTCGGCGACAGTGTGCAGACTTCCTTTTCGGCCCTTAAGGTTGCCTTGATATCCGCGGAGGTTTACGCATCTATGACCCACCTTTGCCGACGCGGGTCACTACCGATGCTTCCGGCTATGGCATTGGTGCCATCCTCGAGCAACACGATGTTGTTGACTGGCACCCGGTCGAGTACTTGGTACATGCGCTTAAGCGGTGACAACATTTTCTTCTCGGTCGAAGTCAATTCTAATAGGTAACGAACAACAATCGGTTGGTCTTCTATAAGACCTAAGACATGGTGAATAGTACCATCGCCCGTTTGATGGCTTTCATCGATCAGACTTCTTCCCCGATCACATCGTGGGAAAGTCGAACCGTTTTGCGGACGCCGTTTCACGGCGTTCGGACCTTTGTACCTCGGTCTACTCGACATTCGAAGTTGATGACGACTTGTGGGACAGCTTCATCCGCGACAACGCGACAAGTACCTCTCCAACCCCGGTGCCAATGCGTTATTAGATCCAAGAGGGCTATTTGTTAGTCCACTCGCGGAGGAAGGATCTTCTTTGTGTGCCAAGTGACCCATACTTGCATACGCGACTTCTTGGCGAGTTCCATGACGATCCCACCACCGGATACACCGGAGTCAATCGTACGATTGGCTGACTTTGTGAGCGCTTTTGGTGGCCCGGCCTTCTCGGTGACGTCACACGCTATTGCGAGTCATGCGAGGTTTGCCGGCGATGCAAATCCTGCACCCATCGTACGTACGGCGAGTTGCGACCTTTACCGGTCCCCCTAGGATGAAGGGAATCGATTGCCATGGACATCATCGGGCCCTTCCCAAAGCACAAGACTGGTGTGGATGGGATTCTCACAGTGGTCGATTGACTCACCAAGTTCGCCATGTTTTTGCCTTGCCGCTATGATGCCAAGGCACCGGAGTTGGTCGAGGTTCTTTATGCCGGTCAGATTCGTACCAAGGGGTACCCCAAGGAGATCGTTTGTGACCGTGACACTCGGTTCATGTCCAACTTATAGTTGGCTCTCATGAAATGATGGGGCTCATCTCTCAAGCCGAGTTTGGCTCGCCACCCACATACCGATGGCCAAATGGAGAGGGCGCATCAAACCGCACAGGTTCTTCTTCGCACTCTCGTTCGTCCCGACCAAAAGGATTGGGTTGAGCGAACGTCGAGTTGGCTTACAACTTGTTCATTCATCCGACCATCGGGATGTCGCCCTTCGAGTTGGAGCATGGCTCGCCAGTCACATTGCCATTGGACACTATCATCCCACTGATGATCGAGGGCGACGACCACCTCATTTTCATCGGATGCAAGAGCTCCTTGTCAAGGCACGCGATCAGATGTCGCTGACTCAACAATGCATGGGCCGTCAGGCCAATTGTCAGTGTCTTCCTTGTCCCTTCCGCGCCGGTGCCCTCGAACAAGATACCTCTCGCAAGCTCCTTCCGAAGTGGATGGGGTCTTGGTGCATTGTAGTCCCCGCTGGTGATGCACCCGAAGGACCATCATTTGTCATTCAGGTGGCCGCACACTTGCCCGTCTACCCGGTGTTTCATTGTTCGAAGTTGGCTCTTTCGTTTCAGCGGAACGTGATGACTTTCCCAGGCGACGATCGCAAGACCCACCCTCCATGGACGTTTTTCAGGAGGTTAGCAACATCATTTTGCAGCAGCGCTATGGCACCAAGCCGACAAAGTACTTACTACACTTTTCCTATTGTAGTTGGTTGACCCATGCGAAACTTCAGGCCGCAGCCACCGATGTCCTCGCAGGTTACAAATGCAAACAGCAAGGCAAGTCGGGACCTTCGCCTCCAGGCCGTACTCCCGTCCGGGTACCACCATTGGATCGTCAACTTCGCCCTCGACCCGGCTTGACTTCTTAAGGAGAGAGGGGGGGGTTACATGCCGAGCCCATGCGAAACTTCAGGCCGCAGCCACCGATGTCCTCGCAGGTTACAAACGCAAACAGCAAGGCAATCCGGCACCTTCGCCTCCGGGCTGTACTCCTGTCCGGGTACCACCATTGGATCGTCAACTTCGCCCTCGACCCGGCTTGACTTCGTAAGGAGAGAGGGGGGGGTTACATGCCGAGCCTGCACACGGGCCCCATTTCGGGGGCCCAATGGCTGCTGGGGGCCCCCAGGCCGCACGCCTTTGGTCATGCGGCCTGGAGGCCCACGTCTGGCCTTAGGGCTGCAGGTCTCGATTTGAGGCAGCATTCATTGTCCCATTTCTGTCTGTTCAAGGCCACGTTTTTGGCCTGGTATGGACAGGCCCTGTTGGGCCATGTCCGCTTTTGTCCGATAGCGGACGCTCCCTGCTGCATCAGCAGGGAGGGCCTGGACGTCCGGTAGGGACCCAGGCAGGCTATTTTAGGCCTAGGACGTGAGGCACACTGAGGGCACACCCGTGAGGCCCAGCTCTACTTAGCTGGGCCACACCAAGGCAGACATACAGTTCGAGTAGCTCACGTCTTGGGCATCACGCTGCTGGAGCAGCACGACAGCGCTACGCAGGCAGGGGTGTAGGTAGGGAGTGAGGCGGAGGCCATACCTGTGTCGGCGAAGATCTTACCCGGGCGCCATAGCTGGTCTTTGCGCCAGCGCCCTGCAGCACAGCGGAGACACGCCACGACAGGTAGTGCATGGCGGCAGTTACCTGCAGGTGAGATAGCGAGGACATCTTCTTCTTCTTGCTCTCACCCTCCATCTCTCCTCCCTTCTTCCCTCTTCTTCTTCTTCGTCGTCTTTCAGAGAGAGAGAGAGAGAGAGAGAGAGAGAGGTTACACTGGGCATGAAGCCCAGGATCTGATTCGACGTTTTCTGGCAGACATTGATTGGACATTCGGCAGGGAGACTATTTTTGGACTTCGCTATCGCGATCTTGGTCTTCTCCCGCATCTCCATCTTCGTCTTGGTTCTCCCCCCCATCTATCTGTGGTATCTCCCCATGTGCGTGATCAAGGAGGGACCTCTCTTCTATGTATGGGGTCCCTCCTCTCTCTCGCACATGTGTGGTGTATGATGGGGTGTCCCATCTTCGTCTCGCCTCTCCCCCCCATCTCCTCATCCGTGGTATCTCCCCATGTGCTTCTATGTATGTGGTCCGTCCTCTCTCTCTCACATGTGTGGTGTATGATGGGGTGTCGCATCAGTATCTGACAAGTCGGGTCATATCTTTGAGTCTTCCGTTGCGCTACATTAAGCTATTTTCATATGTATCTGGATGTACTTCGCTTGTTGATGCTTCGCTGACAGTGGATTGTCCATTCGGGTCCGTTTCATCACTTTGCGGATCCTTGGCTCCGTATACATCGCTCGAATGAGCATCTCTCTCTCTCTCTCTCTCTCTCTCTCTCTCTCTCTCTCTCTCTCTCTCTCTCTCTCTCTCTCTCTCTCTCT